GGTGGGATGCTTGTCAGAGGGTTGGTGTGGACTCAATAGGCCAAATGGCCTGCTTCCACACTCTGGATTCTATGATTCCTGCTGCAGTGGAGTTACTGGGAAGATATTCCACAGCCCGGGTAGTTCCTGCTAAAAGTGGAGCTTCAGACATAGCACTCCCATCTCCTCTCAAGTGGGCTCCAGCCCAGATTTTTGCAATGGTCCATATTTAGATCACTGGGACCTGAGTGGAAATCACTAGACACTGCATTAGTCCAATTAAAGCCACAGACATTCCATTGCAGTTTCCCCATTAAAAAGCCTCATGTTAAAAACATCAATGCCATCCTGTCCATACAAGGAGAAGGCATGTTTTCCATACCAGGCTTCTTGACCAAGCCCCAAGAGTTCAATATCAAGTACATGTCAGGCAGAAAAAAAGCTTCTTGATCAATTGTTAGATCCACTCCCTCAGGGAAGGGGAAACCCATAACAAGTTAAACATCCAACTTCACACCAACACAGTGTTGGAGTCAATGTAATCAAAAATAGGCACAAAAGTAATGGGGCCACAGAGTAACCAGCCTTGCTGCCTTACAGCAGCAGCGACCCAAGCTCAAATCCACCCATGGCAGATATGGAGTTCACACATTGTGCCTGCATGGGTAGCTTCCCACAGTCCAAAGATGTGGCAGCTAGGTGAATGGGCCATGGAAAATGCAGGGCTCCAAGCTGGGGGTGAGGTGGGATGGGATGCTCTAAGTTCACATTGGCCCTCTGATGGCCAGCTTCCACACTGGAGTTTCTTTGGATAATACTATTTACAATTACAATAGCTTCACCATTTTCACTCAGGAAATTGATTTAAAAATCCAACCTTGATGTCCTGCAGGAGGACTTGGCCTCCACGTTTATTCTGGAATGCCATCAGTTTCTCAGCGTGTTCCCATTCCTCATGGGACTGCTCCTTGAAGAACTCAGCAAAGTGACACAGGGCAACATCATCCCGGTCAAAGTAAGAGAACTGCAAATAGAGAACAAGAGAAGCCAAGACTCAAATTTCATCATTAGTCAAAAAGCAGGGAGTAGCATCATCAAGCATTACTTGGTCAACAGTTCACTACGTTACAAGTCATCTTTAAACAGGTTAAAAAGTGAGATACAGCATTGAAGTTACCTACAATTTCCAACAGTGGAACATCTCTTCAATTCCAGAAACACCAACCCCACCCTCAACAGGGAGGCCTGGCAGCAGTTAATTTTAAAGAAACTTAGATATTCTCTATAATGGATTGATGAATAAAACCCAGTGTTAAGTTGAAGGAATAGTAGATTTAGTTCTTGATATTATATACTCCAGGGTAAAGCCATTACAGCAGACAGCCCAAAGCAGAGATAAACTACATTCAAGACAACAGTTCACTGAACTGGAGAAATTCTAGTTACCCGACATGATGGTTATATTAAAACCCATTACCTTAATTACAAAAAATATAAATTTTAAAAAATGGGACCATCAAGACAACAACACTCACCATAGAGAGGTAAACATAGGAGGAATAGAGCTCCAGGTTGATCTGCTTGTTAACAGCATCCTCACAGTCCTTGTGGTAGTTCTGACACACTTGGGAGGCCATCTTCACTATTACCTAGACAACTATAGAACTGAGCCTCTCTACCACAAACTCTTGTATTTATACTCCTGGGGGCATCCTGCACGCAAACAGGGAATGATGTCACCAATGAAGATTGACAATCCCTTACAGCCAATCAGGAATCTCCATGAATTCAGGCACCAGTGAACTCAGGAGAGGGGTCTGTAGGGATGGGACTGAGACCCAGAGCCAATCAGAGATTTGGAAAATAGTGCCAGTTTGACCGGATTGTCTTGATGTTGTCACTAGTTTTTTGATTCCATTGACATTCCTCAATTCTGAAAACCTCTTGAAGTTTTATACTCTGGAACTATATCTTACTCTATTGCTGAAGCAGCTTTTCATAACCTGGTCAAGTTTGATACTTGTGAGGAGCTGTGAAGCTGATACAGTACCCTTTGCAGATCAAGAAAAGCTCAGTAGGTTTGGCAGCGGCTGTAGAGAGAAATCAGAGTTAACGTTTTGGGCCCAGTGATCCTTCCTCAGAACTGTTCTACACACGCAGCCAGACCTGCTGAGCTTTTCCAGCAATTTCTGTTTTTGTTTCTGATTTCCAGCATCCGCAGTTATTTCACTATTTTCTTTTCCTTAGCAAACCAGATCATCTTGAGGGAATTTGCAAACCAGCCATTGGACAGAGAAATGGAAATGTGAGAACGAGAGCAAGTGAACGTGGCTGAATCTAATGTCACCCACACACTCGTCTCAGCTGCAGTGATTTGAGAACAGACTCGATGGAGCAGCTTGTCTTTTCCTGTGTCAATACTATTTGTTCGATGGGTGACTTTAAACTTTACTGGCGAGATTTGAATCTGTTTGAAATGTTTAGACTCGAATATTTTCCAACTCTTTGATTCAGACACAAATGGAGACCATTTAGTGCCGAAAGTTTGTGCTGGCTCTTTGGAAGAACTTTCAAATTAGTCCCAGTCCTGTGATTTTCCTGATATTCCTGCCATTCATTTCATTGTCATTATATGTCTCCAAATTAATCTTTACCATTATTAAGGCATCTTCTTCTATTGTCCTGTCCTGACAGTGCATTCTTAATTGTAACAACTCACTATTTAAAAATAATTTTAGTCTCTCCCTCTGGCCTTGTTTTGTGTCACAATGGCTCAGTGGTTAGCACTGCTGCCTCACAGCACCAGGGACCTGGGTTCAATCCTGGCAATAGGTGACTGTCTGTGTGGAGTTTACACATTCTCCCCGTGTCTGCATGGGTCTCTTCCAAGTGCTGCAGTTTCCTCCTTAAGTCTAAAGATGTGCAGGCTAGGTGGATTGATTGTGCCAAATTTCCCCTACTGTCCAGGGATGTGCAGACAAGTGGGTTAACCATGGAAAATGTGTGGTTACAGGGAAAGGGGTGGGGAAGGCGAATGGTTAGTCTGGGTGCGATGTCTTGGAGGGTTGGTGCAGAGTCAATGGGCTAATGACCTGCTTCTGCACTGTAGGAATCCTATCATTCTCTAAGATCCCAAGCGTTGATGTCAGGGTTTATTAGAGAAGTGGTTCAATCCTGGATTAGGTGAATATGTGGTTTCCTTGGAGTAAACGCTGGTCTAGATGCAAAAACGAGGCTGTCTGAGATTCACACCCAGGACCACTGCTGACACTATAGATACAATCTTCTTGGGAGAGATACCACTAAATGGGCACAGTTGACCCACCTGAACAGAAACTGTACCTGGGCACTAAAACTTGTCCTTATTGAAAAGACCGAGATGCAGGGAACGTTCAGTCCTCATAAAGGGCTTTGTCCAAATGGATAAACATCGTGTGGTCACTCAGTAGCCACCCAGATGGACACAAGATCCTTTGATGGAAGGCCTGGGATTACAGATTCTTGGTGTAACTACTGACAAATCCTTTTCACAGGAACCACATGAATTCAGCATCTGCCAGCAGGGAGAAGGGATGGCTTGGGTTTGAAAAAAAAAACACCTCACCATTCTTTCAATTTGAGAATTGTGAGATTCAAAGATTGTGATTCAAGTGACCAAAGATTAATTTTCTTGTTGTAACAGCCAGACCTCAACTAAGTTCCGAAAATTAACTACCAAACCTCAGGCTTGCAGTCATGGCAACAAAAGGTTAAATCATTGATGTGAAGGAGATCAGTAGTGATCCAGCAGGATTGGAAGTGGATGTTTCCTTCAAATTCAACAAACTGACAAATTTATGAAGGAGTTGCTGCTCTTATAAACTGATGGATCAGGTCTGTCAGATGAACTATGTAATTTGAATGACACCATGTGGTTTGCTTTTAATTAACTACATTCACACTTTCCAGGATTGGAATTAGAGCTGGTCAACAGTGACCACTTTTACTTAGTTTAAAGCTCAGATTCATGGAACCAGCTTTAATTCAGTCTTCAACCTCAAAAATAAAAGCATACTTTGTATTGACCTTACTCTGTTCGCAAGGAACTGCCAAGAGAGCTTGTTTAATAAACTGGAGCTCACAAGAGTCCAGAACTGCTTGTCATTTACAACTTTGCTCAAGTGTTGCCAGAATTCTAAAAAGGAGTATGCACAAGATATAAGTGAGCTCAACTAGACAAGTTAATTCCTCATGGCATCTGCTTTTGGTTTTTAAGCACCGATTGTTTCCAAGCAAACTATTCTGTTCCAATGGAGCTCTTATTTGCAATATTTTAAACAGTGTTTCTACCCATTTGTTGGACTAAGTTCACAGGAGCTACTATTTTGACTGGCACTCATATTTGAGAAGCAGGTCAACTAGGTAGAAACCTAGATGCTAGAGACTCCAAAAATGAAAATGTTTTAAAAAAAAGTATCCAAGTAGGTCAAACAGGGTTTGTAAAATGTTTATGGAGTTAATGTTGAGTCACATCCTTTGATTTGATGTCCCATATTTAGAGGCTGTTGTCATTTGTTTATAAAAAGGCTCCTGTGGTAGTGTTCCTGCCTCAGCCCAGAGGCCCTGCTGAACCTGCTCCAGAAGAGTGAACCTTTGAACAGATTAAAAAAAAATGCTGTAGTTTATTCTTGATAATCCTTTGAACCTACTTGAAGCTAGGCACCTAGCCCCAATGTCAGCTTTAGCTGGGTAAGGAAAAGATAACATCATACTAATGCAAACTGTTGTTACAGCAGCTCTGTAAACTATTGATAGTGCAGTGCACTAAGATCATACAAAGATTAGATCTTGTCCTTGTGTCATGCCAAGGATGACACGTGCAAGTGACAATCTCATCAACATCTTGCCTGGTCTGGTATAAGAGATGCCAGATTTCAGACCATGAAAATCCAGTCCATAAGCACTTTATTTAACATTTTAACAAGCTTGGCCTCACTAGTTATAAGTTTCATAGCTGTACAAGTACATTACAAACTCATTTCCTGCAGTCAGTTCAGTCACTGTCCCCCAGGGTGAGCCTGTCAAACAGGTACTCTCCCATGCCATTGTCAGGGGCTCCCAGTCTCTTCAGGTTGGTGATGTCATGTCCCAGCTTCTTGATCATCTTCCCTTGCTCATCCAAGTAGTGCTTCTCCAGGAAGTCTCTCAGCTGGAACAAAAGGAACAAGAGAGGTATATATAAAAAAAAACAGGTGTTCAAGCAACTGGATTGTAGTCAGTGATGCCTGAAGTAGTTACAAAGAGCTTTAACCACTGGATCAAAGAACACCTGTTCTCCACACCCACCCAAGTGAATCGTAATTAGATGCAGGAATTCTGAGGCACTAAGACTTAGTCATTGCAATTTCCCTAAATTAGCAAGAACTCACATGAGGGTCCATGTTGCCAGAGGCAAGTTTGTGCAGATCCAGCAGACTCTGGTTCACATCCTTCTCCATCTGCAGAGCTCTCTGCATTGCCTCCAGACCATTGCCCCGGCTTCTGGAGAGAGAAGTATCTTCAAATACAAGACAACAACCATGGGGGATCCTGTCAAAGCAATGTCTGCAAGGTGGGAGGCAATACAGAGGGGCTAACAACAATTCGTGGCAATCATTACTGATTGCCCAGCTAATGGTGACTAGATCAAAGATTTGCCTACACCTGGAGAAGACAGGACTGTAAACAGAATGGACCATTGATTCTGGAACACTTTGTAAGCTGACTGTTCTCAAATCCAATCCCATTTCTTTCTGCTGTCAGTCATCACTAATGGAAAGGTACAAAAAAATAAAGTTACCTGGATGTCCTGCAGGAGGATTCAGCCTCCACGTTTATTCTGGAATGCCATCAGTTTCTCAGCATGTTCCTGTTCCTCGAAGAACTCAGCAAAGTGACGCAGGGCAACATCATCCTGGTCAAAGTAAGAGACCTACAAAGAGAATCAAGAATCAGTACCCTTTCGCCTCACTTATGTTAGAATAAAAGAGCAAATGCTAAAAAACAAAATAAGTGTACAATTCAAACCCCTTATCCTCATTAAGTGGAATTTGAAAAATGATACTACATTGACAACTAAATTTATCCTCAGGAAGGGGAAGTATTTCCAGAACAGAAGCTCCACTGTTATCCTGGAGATTTAGTCAGTTAACACAAGAGCCAAACAAAGATCATTATCCCTGTCCAACAATCCTTGCTGTGCACACTTTGGGAGTTTGGGCAACTCATTGATAAGGACTCCGCAGGGAAAAGCAGTTTATTTGTTTTTAAAAATTCACAGAACAAGGCATCACTGGCTAGACCAGTATTTGTTGCCCATCCCAATTGCTCAGAGGGCAGTTAAGAGCCAGCCACATTGCCATAAGTTTGGTGTCATATGTAGGCCAGACCAGGTAAACATAGCAGTTTCCTTCCCTAAAGGACATTAAGGAACAAGATGGTTTTGCTCAATCAATTGTTTCATGGTCATCATTTGATTCTTAATGCCAGATGACTTTAATTCCACTATCTGCCATGGTAGGATTCAAACTCAGGTCCCTGGAACATCACCTGGGCTTCTGGATTATAGTCCAGCAATAATACCACTAGGCCATGATCTACCTTGACAGAACAGGCCCTTTGGCCCACGATGTTGTGCTGAACTTTTACCCTAATACTAAGGTCTATCTAACCCTCCACCCCTACGTTATACTAGCATCCATATACCTATCTAATAGCTGCTTAAATGCCTCATGAGGCTGACTCCACTACCCTCTCTGGCAATGCATTTCATGCCCTGACCACTGAGTAAAGAACCTACCTCTGACGTCTCCCCTGTATCTACCTCCACTCACCTTAAAACTATGTCCCCTCGTAATAGCTACCTCTACCCTAGGAAAGAGTCTCTGGCTGTCCACTATCTATACCTCTGATATTTTGTACACCTCTATCAAGTCACCGCTCATCCTTTGTCTATCGAAAGAGAAAAGCCCTAGATCTCAGCCTTTCCTCGTAAGATCTTCCCTCCATTCCAGGCAACATCCTGGTAAATCTCCTCTGCACTTTTTCCAACGCTGCCACATCTTTCCTGTAATGAAGAAGTGACCAGAACTTGACAATACTCCAGATGTGGCCACACCAGGGTTTTGCATAGCTGCAGCATAACTTCACAGCTCTTGAACTCAGTCCCTGCTATTAATGAAAGCTAACACACCATATGCCTTCTTAACAGCTATTCACCTGGTTGGCAGCTTTCAGGGAACTGTGGACATGAACCCCAAGATCCCTCTACTCCACATTGACAAGAATCTTTCTGTTAACCCTGTATTCTGCTTTCAAGTTTGTCCTTCCAAACTGAAGGAACTCCCTCTCTTTTCAGGATTAAACTCCATCTGCCATTTCTCAGCCCAGCTCTGCATCCTATCAATGTCCCTTTTAACCTAAAACAGCTCCACACTGTCTACAACACAACCCACCTTCATATCAACCACAAACTACTAATCCATCCTTCCACTCCTTCATCCAAATAATTTACAAACATCACAAATAGAAGAGGACCCAGGACAGATCCTTATGGCACACCACTCGTAACTGAGCACCATGTTGAATATTTTCTGTCCACCACCACCATTTGTCTTCTAAGGGTCAGCTAATTCTGAATCCAATCTGCCACACTTCCCCCTATCCCATGTCTCCTTACCTTCTACATGAGCCTACCATGGGGAACCTTATCAAACACCTTACTTAAATCCATGTATACCACATCCACTGCTCTACCTTCATCCACATGTTTGGAAATCAAGGGACACAATTTCCTTGAACTGTGCTGCTTTAAGCAATTCTTTACTAGTCTTATACTAAAGACAGGAATAAAGATTGAATTAACAAGATTCTTGACGTTTCATTTTGGATTGTGCATAAATTTTACTAGAAGGTTACATTTCTAGTCAGCCAACCCAAGTAAAATTTACCATAAGCAGTTGACCAGGTTCATGTTCATGATCTGCAAACTCAGGGAAGAGAGAGAGTGGAGTTAAAGTTCATGGAAGATATTTTTCTAATCAAAATCTTGGTATTATTGTTTACCTGAGCCAGAAGTCCCAACTACTCCAGAGATGAGTAGTCTGCAACTAATTATAGATATCTATTGAGTTATTCTCCATGTTCAATATGGACAAAGCAACTGCTATAACAAGGCCCAGTCACATACCACACACTTCAGAACATTCACTGTGTAAAGATTTAGCCCCACACTAAGCCTCAACAACAAAAAGACAGTTTACTTAAAAGTTTGAGTTCAGAATACAGTCACAGGAACAGAAGCCTCACCATGGAGGGGTAAACATAGGAGGAATAGAGCTCCAGGTTGATCTGCTTGTTAACAGCATCCTCAGTCTTTGTGGTAGTTCTGAAGCACTTGGGAGGCTATCTTCACTATTCCTATTCACTATCACCTAGACAACTCTAGAACTGAGTCTTTCTCCCACAAGTTCCTGTATTTATACTCCTGGGAACACCCTGCACTAAAACAGGGAATAACATCACCAATGATGATTGACAATTCCTGACAGCCAATCAGGAATCATGCATCCAGTCATCAATTAATAAGGATATGACCAGAGCCAATCAGAGGTTTGTAATAGAAACAATTTGGGGGTCTTATTCTCAATGGTGTTACTGCTTTTGGATTCTTGTTTCAAATCTGAAGGTATTTCATTATTTAACATTCTTGTTTGAACTTAGTGATAAGCACTAAAATAAAATTAAGAACTGCAGATGCTGGAAATTTGAAAAAAAAACAGAAATTGCTGGAGAAACTCAGCAGATCTGGAAGCATCTGTGAAGAGTTAAACAGAGTTAACTTTTCAAGTCCAGTGACCCTTCATCAGAATAGAATATCTGACGAAGGTCACTGGACCCGAAACATTAACTCTGTTTCTCTCCTCACAGATGCTGCCAGACCTGCTGAGTTTCTCCAGCTATCTTTGTTCTTGTTGTTAGCGATAACGTGTTACTTTTGCTGAAGCAGCTTTTTATAACCTGGTCAAGTTTGGTATGATTGAGGAGCTGTGAAGCTGATAAAGCACACAAAACAAATTAAGTCGTTTTGTGGGAATTTGCAAAAACAGCCACTGGACAGAGAAATGGAAATGTGTGAATGAGAATCAGTGAATGTAACTGAATTCAGTGTCACCCACAAACTCAGATAACAAGGTGTGGAGCTGGATGAACACAGCAGGCCAAGCAGCATCAGAGGAGCAGGAAAGCTGACGTTTGGGGCCTAGACACTTCTTCAGAAATGGGGGTGGGGGAGGGGAAGGGGGTTCAGAAATAAATAGGGAGAGAGGCGGGGGAAAGATGGATAGAAGAGAAGATAGTGGAGAGGAGACAGACAGGTCAAAGAGGCGGGGATGGAGCCAGTAAAGGTGAGTGTAGGTGGGGAGTTAGGGAGGAGATAGGTCAGTCCAGGGAGGGCGGACAGTTTGTTGCTATGTTACTGCTGCTGTTTTGTTAAGTTAGTTTGAGACCATTTTGGTCCAGAGACAGAATGGTGGAAAGGGAACTTGATGCCAGCATTTGAGCCATTATGGTTGTAGAAAAAGTCACCCAAGTCCCAGTGAATTATTGGGGCACAGCTTCCCAGGGATACCTCACCCTGGCAAATTCGGACTGGGCTCTAAATCAGAGGAATTAGCAATAAACAAATTTAGAGCACAATGTTTCTGAACATTGCTTTCCTGTGGCAGGTGGTGACAGCAAAAGCTCCATTTCCCAAGCCAGATTAAAAATCAGCTTTGCTCAAATAAAGGTAACTGCGTAGTGAGCCTGGAAAAGCATGGCAATCACTGAAATGTTGAAGCCTCAGAATTTGGCTGTATTCTACAATAGCCATTGAGCACAGTTTGATCTGCTACCCACTGAACCACTACTGGAGCCATTATCACCCACAAGGTGTTTCTGTTGTAGAGAAAAGGGTGGGGTTTTACACAGAATTGTAAACAGACCTATCAGGGATACCCCCATTACTATTAATAAGTTGGATTCTGCTGACTGATACCCAGGCCTGGTCAATAAAAAGTAAATTTATAAGATTTTGGTCAGTCTTCTCATAAGAATGATTGTACATTGACAGTCAGTAGGGCCTTCTGTGAAGCTTCACTTATTTGGAAGTGATTTTAAATAGAATTTGGTATGTGACCCTGACACCAGAGTCAGTCCCTGTGCTGTTAACACGCAGTAGCACCAGTTGGTACTGTGATATGCACTGCAGAAACTCACCAAGGCTCCTTGCATAGGACCTTGCAAACCCATGACCACTTCCACTGAGAAGGAAGGCAGGCAACAGATAGAGGAACACCACTCCATGCAAGTTCCCATCCAAGCCACTTATCCAGAGTTGGAAATACTCTGGGCCGAAGTATGCCAATTCTTTCAAGATGATTGTGGAAATACCTCTAGAACATGGCCCAGTGGTTCAAGGCAGCAGCTCACCATGTCAAAGGCAACTCGGTCCAGGCAATTGTCTGGCTCAGACAGTGAAACCCACAGCCCAGTGGGGAAAGTGTTCCCATCAGCAAGAACAGAACCAAACAGGATCAAGCTACAGCACAGCAAGGATTAACCCGGAAAGGGAGGCAAGACACAGTCCAATATTGAGCAGTTTATTTACACATGGTACAGGACAATGAGCTGCTTCTACAAAAAAGGAGAAGTCTCTACAGGTCTCCCATTTAGACACATGGCAACAAGCTTGCTCCCTGCAGTCAGTTCAGTCACTGTCCCCCACGGTGAGCCTGTCAAACAGGTACTCTCCCATGCCATTCTCAGGGGCTCCCAGTCTCTTCAGGTTAGTGATGTGATCTCCCAGCTTCTTGATCATCTTCACTTGCTCATTCAAGTAGTGCCTCTCCAGGAAGTCACACAGCTGGAAAGGCAAGAGAGGGAGATTAAGTTTAGACAATAAGAGAAAGCCATAGTTTGCCTTGACAGGGAAAGTTTTAATCTTCCTTCAACTGGAGGAAGAACAGAATGTTGCTCCAGTTGTTCCTGCCAGAGAATTGCTATTCATGGACTGAATATACCAGCACTGGTATATTTACTTGTTGGAATTCAGCTGCCAAAGCAACTCAGATTCAAGCAAGACTTTTACTCAAAAAGGCAAAGCAAAAGCCATCAAATAGGCCCAAGGTGCCACCATCCAACTTCTCCAAAAGCCCACATCAGGAACTCACATGAGGGTCGGTGTTGCCAGAGGTGAGTTTGTGCAAATCCAGCAGACTCTGGTTCACATCTTTCTCCATCTACAGAGCTGTCTGCATTGCCTCCAGACCATTGCCCCACTCATCCTGCTCTGGCTTCTGGTGGGGGGGGCGGGTGTGGGTGGGAAGGGAAGAAAAATGTTTCAATAGAGATTGGACAAGAGTCTCTAAGAAAAACAGGCTGCATTACGCAAGGATGAACTCACATGCCAAAATGGTTAGTGCATTGGTTCAATGGGCCAAGACAACATTTTTGAGTCAAACATTTAATTTGACAAGTTTGAGTCAAGCTGGTTGGGGTACTAATTAAACCCAACCTTGATGTCCTGCAGGGAGACTCGGCCTCCACATTTATTCTGGAATGCCATCAGTTTCTCAGCATGTTCCCGTTCCTCATGGGACTCCTCCTTGAAGAACTCAGCAAAGTGACGCAGGGCAACATCATCCCGGTCAAAGAAAGAGAACTGTGGGGGAAAGAGCAACATTCAGTTTCAAATCTCAGTTGACAGTTAATTATTTCAGGAGATTCACTTTTGATACAAAGCTGATGTTACTGTCAAACCCCAATGGAGCTCACTGGTTTCATGAGCATGAAAGAACACCACTTTCAGATTGTGCTAGTAAATTCCATTGCCATTCAATATAACATTTGTGGCATACAATAAAATTTCCTAAGGCATGGTTTGGAGTACATCCTCAGGGTTTAAACCATGCACTCCTAGCCATTTGGGAAGCAGAATACTCAGCACCATTTCCAGGAACAGAAAGGTTCCCACCAACATCCAGGAGAACACCCAGCCTTCAGGTAACACAGACTGTTATCCCAGTCCTTCAGACACTACAGACCTTGCCCAATGGGAATGAATACATTGCAAACACCCTTAAACCCAGAAGTGTCAATTCTTCACTGAGGGGGGAGGTAGAGAGGACCTACCAACAGTAGCAGTTTGCATCACCAATGCAGGTGACCTTCCTTGCTCACACCATAACCTGGAAGAATGTTCTTTCAGTTGAACTGACAAGCAGCAGTTCAGCAATAGCTATCAACCTGCTTAGGAGGAGATGTTACCAAGCACCTCTAGGACAGTTGTCTATAACAGACTGTCTGGCTCAGAGATATGGATACTACCATGCACCAGGAGGACTGAGCAGGCAGTTGCAAATACTGCACCAGCTTTGGGAGGGGTGGGACATTAAACAGGACCTTCCTCTTCTAGAGGAAGGGGCACTACCACTATAAGACCACCTCCACAGCTGGTTTTGAGCTATTGTCTCATTAGCCCATTTAGAGATGGTACATACATCTCAAGCAGGTGGGACATAAACCTTCACCTTCTCAGAGATAGGAGCCAGCTTTTTGTATTACACAAGCTAAGAGCCTTCAGCCTATTGGCAAATTAGGCCAGTTGTTTAAAAAAAAAAATTATGTACCACCAGTAAGTCACCATTTTCCAGGCAGTTACTTTTCCATTTTCCAATCAGCTTGTCCAGAGAGGTTGTAGTGCTCACTTCAGGAACAGGAGCAGTTCAAGCCATGTCAAACATCAATTGTTATCAACTATTACAACACATTCCACTCACTCCAAAATGGAGACAACATTGGAATTGACAAAAATTCACTACAGGGTCTACCTTCTACCAGTAAGGAAAAAACAATTTAATTTCAGGCCACAACATAAACTAGCAAAAATCCAACTTCTTCAGAACACAAGGCTCACCATGGAGAGGTAAACATAGGAGGAATAGAGCTCCAGGTTGATCTGCTTGTTAACAGCATCCTCACAGTCCTTGTGGTAGTTCTGACACACTTGGGAGACCATCTTCACTATTCCTACTCACTATCACCTAGACAACTGTAGAACTGAGCCTCTCTACCACAAACTCTTGTATTTGTACTCCTGCAACATCCTGCACTCAAACAGGGAATGATGTCACCAATGATGATTGACAGTCCCTGATAGTCAATCAGGAATCTTCTATCAATGCAGGCATCAATGAAATAAAGAGAGGGCACTGTGGGAATAGCGCTGAGACCCAGAGCCAATCAGAGATTTGGTATACAGAGACGTTTGGGCAATGAATCTTGATTATGCAAGTGCTTTTGGAGTAATAGGTCCCCAACAGATCCCAAACTAGCTGGTTACTTATAGTTTGATATGTGGTGCAGTGGCAGTGTCCATACCCCTAGTTCTGAAGAATATCAAGTTCAGATCCCTCTAGCTGCTCAGAAAATATCTACAATTGGATAGGAACGAAGTAATTTAAAAAATGTTACCTCTGGGTAATCATCTGACCAAATTTGGTTCTTTTGTATCAACTGTTCTCTGACACACCAAGTGTTTCCATCTGGTTTCATTCTCAAAGTGGTTCAGTCTTGGATTAGGTGATGAGATGTGTTAGTTAGTTGTATGTCACTGCCCTTTTAAGTATAGCAGCCCTGTAGGAGCAGGGTCTTTTTTACCACAGAGGGTATCCAGGCCCAAAAAGGGGTAAATATATCGTAACAGTTCCTGTTCTTGTTCCCCTCCTTACAATGGTCCTTGGAATTGAGAATTTCATAAAGAACACTATCACATAGACGCAGCATTTGGTTCAACCACAAATTTGTTTGTTAGAATAAACCTCCTGGTGCCCTGACACAATATCTCTCAGCTGGTCTAAATGATACAACACCTGTCCAATTTAAATCTCACCCTGATTTAACTGATTTAACTGACACTCACCCAGAACGGATGTATTTAAATAAAACCAAAATTCCACTTGTAAAACCTTACATTTCTGTCCAAATCATACTCAATTCAAACACAAAATACGGGGTTTTAGTCATTACTCTTAAATTACTTTACGTTTATCTCCATCATAAGGTCAAAAGTGAGGACGTTCACCGGTGATTGCACAATGTTCAGCACCGTTCACCACTCCTCAGATACTGAAACATTTCACATGCAAATACAACAAGAGCTGAACAATATCCAGTCTTGGGATGAGAAGTGGCAAGGAAAGTTCACACAACACAAATGCCAGGCAATGACCATCAGCAATAAAATCTAAGCACTGTCCCTTGACATTCAATGACCATACAGTCACTGAATACTCCCGCTGTCCACATCCTGGGAGTTATCATTGACCAGAAACTTCGCTGGACTCACCACTTAAACACAATGGTTAGCAGAGCAGGTCAGAGGCTAGGAATGCTGTGGTGAGTAACCCACCTCCTGACTCCCCAAAGCCTGTCCACCACCTACAAGGCACAAGTTAGGATTGTGTTGGAATACACCCCACTTGCCTGGATGGGTGCAGCTTCAACAACACTCAAGAAGCTTGATGTTATCCACGGCAGAGCAGCCCGCTTGATTAGCACCACATCCACAAACATCCAATCCTTCCACCAACAACACTCAGCAGCAGTGTGTACTCTCTAGAAGATGCACTGCAGAAATTTACCAAAGATCCTTTGGAACCCATGACAACTTACATTTGGAAGGACGAGGGCAGCAGATACATGGGAACACCAACAGCTGCAAGTTCCCCTCCAAGCCACTCACCATCCTGACTTGGAAAAATCTCGCCATTCCTTCAGTGTCTCTCGTTAAAATCCTGGAATTTCCTCCCTAATGGCGTTGTGGGTCTACCTACAGCACATGGAATGCAGGTCACCACGAGCTTCTCAACAGCAAAAAGGGACAGGCAAAAAAATGCCAGCTAGTCACACCAATGTCCCACAAGAGAATAAAAAAATTTGTGAAAAGTTCTCAGCCCTCATACCCCTCAGATATGGCATATGACATACAACCCCGCACTCAGTTTCCACTGAGAATGATGGGTCCATGAACCAGCTTGGCTGATTTGGACCCTCCCTCTGCTGCAGACCCCTCCCAGACTGTGATCACTCCAATTCCACTGGAACACTGACAATCCCCAAAATCCTCAACACCATGGCTCCCTCCTTTGTTGAATGCAGGCTTCAGTCAGGCCGACCAATGCTGTCCCATCTTCCAACTGCAAGGCCAGTTCTTTCTCTTATCTTGATCCTTACGGAAATAACATCAGCACATTTACTGAGGCCATTCTGCTGAATGGTCAATGCTGAGCAGCCTCTTTGATCCAGACAGACCTGCTCAGTGCTGATATTTCCCACAATCTAGTACTATGAATGGCAGTTGTCTGGCACCACTTGGTCCTTCAATGACCTCTTCCATGCTTCAGATGCCATGAGAGTGGTTATTCTGTGTCATTGTTATGATCATATCCCAACTTCCTGCCCTTTTAATATCATCAGTTATATCCTGACATTGGAATGTCTGAAATTAACCCCTCAAATGGCACATACTTCAGTGTTCTATGTTAAGGCTTGGCTTTCATTCACAGCACACACATCCACAAGGTTTGGTATTTCATTAGGTCCAATTGGAGGGGAATCCAATCTCACAATAGCATGAGGGTTTTGTTTTAAAACTGTTCCACCAATTTCGAAATAGGAAATGATAAATGGCTGACATTTGGACACAGGTAATTCTTTTTTTCAAAATAGAAACCAAATTTTTTAGTGTTTTTAAGATAGATTTTCTTCAAGGAGTTCTTTCGGTTGTCCTTTCAGGACCATTTAAAATTCCATTTCTTGAAATTTAGATCAGCAGCCTCTTGTATAGACTCTCACTGTGCTTCAGTTTGTGCACCTACACGAGTTTGCAGGCTAACAGCACTCTCTGTGTCAATGTTTGTGGGATGCTCCCATCATTCAATTTGTGGCTTACACTATGAACACATTTAGTCTGATTTCTGTGCCTTCATGCAACTGTCTATTTCACACAACTGACTGACTAAACTGTCAGGGAGAGAGAGAGAGAGAGAGAGAACACAAAAGCGACAGCAGGATAGTCATATGATATCATGCAGCTGTCTTATAAGTACAGGACTGTCTGGACACTGCTACATTACAACAGAAACAAATGATAGATTTTTACACGGGGATGATTTGAATTCAATAGCAGTACCTGCAAGAATCAGGGATGGTGATAATTAAACTTCAGTTGTGAAGTGTTGTAATTTAATGAATGCTGATTCAATAACAAAAAGTAAAAGATACCTGAGACCCTTTTTTGGGGGAAGATGCAAAGGCATTAACATTGAATGAAGACTGAAATCTTTATTAAACTTGTTGCATTCCTCAAAACCCCTTAAGACACTAGATGCTTGCAGCAAAAACACCAACATTTGAAGCCCGCCAATAGCATTAATAGAACAAATAAAGATAAAGGATGTAGAAAGTTTGATTGCCAATTCAATTAAAAAAAACAAAACTGGGTAATTCACCAATACAAATTGATTGGTGAGCAGTTGCTTTTTAACTCAGTTTCACGCAAGTATGTTTAAAAGTGGAGAAGTGTGAGGTGATATTTACATATCCCAATCTTCCAATTGTGGAAGGAGGCCCTGTTACATTAACAGCTTGGGGGTAGGGGAAGGTTAGAAAAATATTGATTTCTCCTTCTTAAGTCAAGGAGTGGCAATCATGGCTCAATTTTGAGCCAAAGTCAGTATCTTTGACATTAGGGAACTCACATGGCGTACTGTTTGAGACATCAATCTCTTGTCCAGTTCATTGCTGGAATTTGTAGTGTAGGCTTTTCGGGTACTGTTGATGACAGACGTGGACCAGGCTTGATCCTGCAACCAAATAAGCCAATGCTAGAGTTATTGGAAAACCGCTTCCCCAGTGACACCAGTAGCACTTTGCTTTCTGTTCTAATGGAGGGGTGGGAGCGAGAGAATTTTTAAGTGTAGACATGGCTAAGGAATCAGTGGTATTTGTCCTCTTTACTGGCACTCAAGCAGCTAAGTCACTCCCACATTAAAACCAACATGGCCTAGGGCAAAACAAAATCTGAAGTTTCTGGGAAAACTGCTCTCAACAGTTGTGGCCACAGATTTTCCAGCAGCTGGACATCATGGTGTTTTGAAACAAGACAAGTCCATTTGCTCATAGGAGCACGTCCTGCAAGTCTTCGATTGTTAAGACAATCTATCTTAACAGAATTTTATAAATTGGCCCTGAATAATTGGATTGAGGAGTGATCTTATTCCACATTTGAAAGATTGATCAAGTTGTGCAATTAAACAAGTGAGGCAAAAATTAGTCCACTGAACAGTTTATTCATTTACTAAATTACAATGCAGCCAAGGGCTGTAATGTATTAGAAGCCACAGTCCCTGCAGATTGTGCATTTGGACACAAGCTTGCTCCCTGCAGTCAGTTCAGTCACTCTCCCCCAGGGTGAGCCTGTCAAACAGGTACTCTCCCATGCCATTCTCAGGGGCTCCCAGTCTCTTCAGGTTGGTGATGTGATCTCCCAGCTTCTTGATCATCTTCACTTGCTCATCCAAGTAGTGCCTCTCCAGGAAGTCACACAGCTAGAAAGGGAAAGGATGTTAGATTTTAAAAAAAGTTTTCCTTTTATAGTTTGGGTTTTAAGGCTTCCTTACCTGGAAGGAGGAAGTACAGTTGTTGCTGTTTAGTGCAGATAAATTGCTGCACCAGTCAAACTAAATCTCAAATCACAGTCTGTGAATGGTAACATTCACAGTAAGCCAAACAAAACCACATGAGGTTGGTTATCAAATCAATGTAAAACCTTTTAATCAAAAGCCATTGAATAGGCTCAGTTTCTACTTCTCCAAAAGCCCACATTAGAAACTCACATGAGGGTCCGTGTTGCCAGAGGCGAGTTTGTGCAGATCCAGCAGACTCTGGTTCACATCCTTCTCCATCTGCAGAGCTCTCTGCATTGCCTCCAGACCATTGCCCCACTCATCCTGCTCTGGCTTCTGAAGGAGAGGGAAGGGGTAGATGCTTCACTTTCTCAAGATGCTTCATCCGTTAAAATGGAAACTAATGTGTCATATAGTATTATGACTAAGTGGAATAAAATTACTTCCAATCCATATTTAACACATTACTAAGTCAACTTCCAAATGTTTAATCTAGGAGAGATCATTCAAACCCAACCTTGATGTCCTGCAGGTGGACCCGGCCTCCACGTTTATTCTGGAATGCCATCAGTTTCTCGGCGTGTTCCCGTTCCTCATGGGACTGCTCCTTGAAGAACTCAGCAAAGTGACGCAGGGCAACAGCATCCCGGTCAAAGAAAGAGAACTGGACAAAGTGGAACAACATTCATTATGAAATTACGGCATGCAATAACATTCTTTTGTTACACTCTTGCCAAATAAGTCATGTTTTAAAGTAGTTGAGATGTCATACTCCTGGAGCAAGTATGACTTGAGCCCTAGGTTCTGAGGAATGGTCACTGGACCTGAAACATTAACTGATTTTCTCTTCAGACGCTGCCAGAGCTTCTCCAGCGACTTCTGTTTTTGAGCCCTAGGCCTCCTGATTCAGAAGTAGGGACACTACCATGGCACCAGAAGGCCAGTAATTGTTCCTTGATTAATAGGTAGACTGGCTTGAACTCCACTTGATTGAATAACCAAGATTCTATTCAAACCCAATGTCCCCTAAGAATCTGCCCAAGCCTCTAGATTTCAAGCCCAGTGACATTAGAAACCATCTAGAGTGTGTCTGCATAAAAGTCACTTGTTCAGAGATGTTATTACATCTGAAGCAGGTAGGAGTTGAACCCAAGCCTCTTCAAGTAGTAATAGTACTGTGCCATAGCCCCCTTAACAATTAAGGGTTTTAAATTAAGAACTGTTCATAACTGAACATTCTTGCCCTGCCTCAAGAGAGAAACCCATGAGATTGTCCTCTCTTGTTAACCACCACAAGCAAGTCACCTATGAATCTAAATTTCCAAGTTGTTAGAATTAGGAAGCTTGTATATAAAGCCTGTGGAGGCCAAGGCAGACCAAGTGAGAAATAAAAACACTCAACCAGATTCCATTCATTTGGAGAGAATGTTGGATTATTTAACTTTGAGACCTATTGAAGACTACATCCCATGTGAAATACAAATGGAACTCCACTGCATAAATACACTGGCACCTTGATATTTAGAGCCTCGCAGCTTTATTTTTAAAAGAACAGGAACATGCCCTAGATCCTGGGACAACATTCACACAAGGATTCTCAGAGGAGAAAAAAAGATCTTCTCAATTGACTTTACTGAGAAGTAAGGCATGGAGTTCCCTACATTTCAAATTAATGCCTCAATGCAAGCATATATGAAAAAGTTAGCTTGGAACTAGAACAAAAAAGGAAAAAAAATGAAGAGTTTGAGATACTAAATTTACATGACAGTATGACAATTACTAAATGGTGATTAGAGTTGACACTGAATCAGTACATCACCTGCAGCATAAGATTAAAAAAAAACATCAAGGCATTGTGCTAGTTGCCATCTGCACAGAGCAAACTTTGCCCATGTCAATAAGACAAAAACAAACATGCTTTCAGCCATGTCTGTGTTCATTACATAATTGAAAGCAGGTGCCAAGATAGTTTCAGCTTTAAAATTTTGCATTAAGTGTAGCTACCAAAGCAGCAGCCACTTCAATGTTACTAACTGTGTGTTTGAAGTGCCTCACTACTCAAAAAGTCACTTGTGCCAGGAACAAGGCAGGGAGTAAGATAAAAAAAAAAACAAAAGCTTCAGGTTACTTTAAAGTAGAGAAATTCCAACTTTTTCCAGAAGACAGCCACAGGAACACCAGGCTCACCATGGAGAGGTAAACATAGGAGGAATAGAGCTCCAGGTTGATCTGCTTGTTAACAGCAGCCTCACAGTCCTTGTGGTAGTTCTGACGCACTTGGGAGGCCATCTTCACTATTCCAGCTCACTATCACCAAGACAACTCTAGAATTAAGCTTCTCTACCATAAGCTCTTGTATTTATACTCCTGGGACATGCTGCACTAAAACAGTGGTGACATCATCAATATTGATTGACACTTCTTGATAGCCAAACAGAATCTCCCATCAATCCAGGTACCAATGAAGAAAGGGAAAGAGATAGTGGAGGCATGGCCAAGACACAGAACCAATCAGAGATTGGGAATATAAAGATTTGGGAGATTAGTCTTGATGAGGTCACTGCTTTTAGATTAATAAATCCTCAACAAGCTTGCACCTAACTGGTTGGTTGCAGGTGGATTAAAAATGAAATGACTTTTTAAAAAATTACTTTTGAAGAGCTTTTTCATAATCTGATCTGGTTCTTTTGCTTCTAGTGACTGTGTCACTGTGACATCATGTTTTGACATCTTTTTTCATTACAGAAGGGTGTGGTGCTGGATTAAATGATGAGATGTGGTCCCTTGGATTAACTTTTGCTTTAGATGCACTAGGCAGACTGACGGTGATTCACATCTGGAACTGCTGGTTACGTGATGGGCAAAAGCCTTTAGGGAGAGATACCACCAACAGACACAGTTGATCCACACAAACTGAAAATGCATTCAGATATTGACACCCGAGCTAGTTGAAAAAGGATTGAAGATGCAGTAAATGTTCAGTGGTGACAACAAGCTTGGACCAAACTGACAGATGTCACATGGGCACTCAATGGACCCTACAGACTTTGATGAAGGCCTGTGGTTGTACTGGCTCTCGGGGTAACGGTAACTACTGATTGATCCTTCCCACAGGAGCTGCTTCCAATCAGTATATAAGCTGTGGGAGTGGATTAAAAAAAAAGTCAAAGTGGTAAGAAGCATAAATTCTGATTGATGAATTTAGATACAATGGCAAAGATGAAATATGACTGCCGACTCAAAAGAATGCAGGGACTTGAAATGTCATTTTGCTGATGGCGGTTCTCCAGGAGAATGTAGAAAGGGTGTAACTTATGCTATTAAAAGTAGGGCCTTAAAGAGTGTTGTAGAAAAAAAAAGATCTAGGGGTTAGGATACATAATGCTTGGAAGTTTGTGTCAGATGTATTTGTTAATGCATTTAGCTTGTGTGCCCTCATTGTTCAGTCCTTTGCGTAAAGGAGTTGGGATGTCCTGTTGAGGTTGTACAGGAGATTAGAGGGGCCTCTTCTGGAGTACTGAGAGACCAAAAGGCTGAGGGGGTGTAGATTAAGTGATGGGCAGGTGTCCTTTCCGTGGATTGGGGGGGGGGGAAAAAAAATTAAGACTTGGTGGGGTATGGCATATTTTTGTAATTAAGTTTTAAGACAAGTTTGTTTATCCCAAAAGAAATCCATGTGTTGGCTGAACTGCCCACAGAAGTGATGGATACATGTACAGATACAAATGTTTAAAGAGACATTTGGGTAAGTTCATAAGTAATACAGTTGAGGCATATGGTCAAAGCCCAGGGAGGTGGGAATTAGTTTAGGGTTATGTGCAGCATTGACACTGTCCATGGTGTGGGAAGTGTTGTCTTGGTAACAGTAGTCATGTACCACATTTCTATTGACAAGGAGTGAAATGAGAAATTTCAGCAGTTGCCCAAGGAAAGCTATGGATTTCCCTGTCACTGAAGTTGTTTTGAGGCTAAACCACTACACTGAAGGAACGACATATTTCAAGATACTGAAAAAAAGGTTATGATGAAAGAATGTCAAATTGGATGATCAGCCATACTTGTGTTGAAATCTTGAAAGAGGGCAAAGTGACATTTCCCCCACTCCCCAGCTTCAAGTCTACAAAAGAAGCCAAGCAGATTTTATTAGATCAAGGCAGCTCACAGAAAAGGCCTGTTTCAAATAATGCTCTTCCCCATACTTAGCCCCTCCTGAGAAGGGATTGAAAATAAGCCTTGACTTGTGACCCTGAAGTAACAGATTGAGACCATTATCTTAAATCAGAAAAAAAAAAAATTGCTTTAGCAGTAGTGTTGCATACTCCAAATTTAAGGCCAGAATCAAGTCAATGTTAAGCATTTTATTAGAATTGCACTTGTCAAATCCTACAGATCATTCTTCCAATTGGAATTATGACAGTTCAGTCACTCCCCCAGGGTAAGCCTGTCAAACAGGTACTCTCCCATGCCATTGTCAGGGGCTCCCAGTCTCTTCAGGTTGGTGATGTGATCTCCCAGCTT